ACCATAAATTATTCTTACTACTCACTGCAACTGCATCCTCTCCAACGCGAACCTTGTTTTAACAAAGAATATTTCTAGTTGCCTTCCTTCTCTTAATTATTATACCTTTTTATATGTCCACATGGGAAGAATATCACACTGGTGTGTTATATCTTGGGTACTTTAACGGTCCCACTGAAGGCGTCCTGGGTGCTTGTATATTAATGGTAATCTCTGCAATTAAAGGTGATTATTGCGTCTGTTGCTAGATATGAATTTGTATAACTTCATTGAATTAATATTCAAATTTCTGTAGGTCCAGAATTATGGATGGATGAATTACGAAACGTAATTAATCCCGTGCCAAAATTCATTCCACCTGATTGGTGTTTGATAGATTTGATCATCATTTTCATGCTTTTCTCTGTAGTGGGTTTACATATCCCTAACAGGTATGCCGTCTATATTAAATTGCAATTTAAGTTTTTCTTATTTTATTTATTTATTTTAATCTAATATTACTATTACAGTATATACAATGTATACTTATCGTGTCGTGATAAAAAAAAATCATTTCTCACGGCAATTTCTCAACTATTTACAATAGCTTTATATTCGTTGTGCGGTCACTTTTGGCTCGCATCTCCTTACTCAAGCATTCTAAAGCATAAACACTTCATTTTGTTTGCGCTTACTGTTGGAGTGGTGTTTGGTCGCATTGCGACTAAGATTATCTTGGCGCACTTGACCAAAAAGCCATTTCCAATGTATACTGTTCTTTTGGCTCCTTTGTTTATAGGGGCTGTTTTGACAAATATTCCAATACTTTTTAACACGTAAATGTTTATTATAATTCACAAATTCAATTTAATTTTATTGGGCTACACTAACTTTATTTATTTTTTTATGCATGAAATGAATTTAGCGCCCCGATTCTCACACCTGCTGCCGAATACTATTATCTATTGGCATACTTTGGCTTTACTGTGGTGGCATATTCGCATTGGGCGATTTATATTATAAATAAATTTTGCGAGTTTTTAAAGATAAATTGTCTTCGTATTCCGATCTCGGTGAAGAACGATTAATTAAAAGAATATCATAGTGAACTCTAAATACAACATTCTAGAGTTTAAAGTAAATTCAACATATATATACTTGGTGGTTTCGAATAGACTACAGCTTGTATTTAGAGGATTTATTCTATGTTCAGATACTAAATGATTTTAAACTTTAATTTTTTAGAAGTTCTATACAAAATAATTATTATTAAATAAATATTAAATTTTTTTAATTATTTAGTTTATATATCAATTTAATTGACTATTTTTTTTTAAATTGTTATTGCTTTTGTAAAAAAACCAAATAATTAATTATTAATGTTTATATTATAATACAGTATATAAAAATTAAAAGTTATTATTTATCGTTTTTTTAACTAAACTATACGTATCAATATAACAAATTAAAAAAGTTTATAGCTTATATTTAAACTATACTTTGGAAAATACAATATATTCATTAAAGATAATTTCTTAACGTCGCCAATGGTGATCGTATTCGATCAAAACAAACGTTAAAATTTATTAGCGTTAGAATTTGTGTTAGAATATTGTATGTAATAAAATTTTGCAAGGAATTTTTTTAATTAGAACACGAAAGTTGGTTTCATAGGAGAAATTTTGAGTTATAAATTTTTGAAATTTTTGAAATTTTCAATATTACACACATTACACCTGATTCTGTGATATCATTGGCCAAATGAATATCACCGCCAGCGGCAAATAGAAATATTCTTTGTTAAAACAAGGTTCGCGTTGGAGAGGATGCAGTTGCAGTGAGTAGTAAGAATAATTTATGGT